GGTGGCAATTGCCACCGCCAGGGCCGAAGGGTTAAAGGAATCCTCGCGGAAAATTCTGCATTCTTTCTCAACATGAATGTGTCAGTTGTGATCACTAGATGCAATACACAAAGTTTCACGCATGAAGATTCGGTTTCCGAAGAGAAACAAACTCACGAAAACCATTCTATGGACAATCGAAGGTAATTCGGGCGGAGCCAAAGGCGGGGCATGGAATAAGTCCGCACTGGGGCGCCTACGTATCAGGCGACGCAATGAAAGAATCGGGTTAAAGCGTGCGATTTCGGAGAGTAGAGACAAATCGATCGATAGAATAGGATGGAGAAGTGTGAGATGTGAATGCAAGTCAAAAGGCCAGAAAGAGTTTCTAGTGAAGGCACTCCAAGAACCAAGTGGAAGCATCCCCGTCGCCAGCATTTGTGAAAGACGTCCGTGGGCACTTTGAACGCGTAGCAGCCCTTTCGATTTTTCGAATTTTTACCAAAACAAAAGCAATTTTTCTGTTCTTTTCATTATCGTGGATGATGAGTCTCAAGCCAGTGATTTATGGCTGAAATAGAATCATGATTTTTCCGTGAAGGATTCCTTTAAACTAATGCGTATCCCAACTAAAGTAGACGAAACATCAAGGCTATTCACGATGCGTTACTTAAAAAATGGAAGGTGTGCGTTGCTCTGATCCCGCAATGATTACCTTACCCATTGATAGAGAAAAGCATAAAAATACAAGATTGAGGGCAAGCTATTTATGGCGTGGCGAAGTTCGACTGCCTGGTCAAAGCAAAACACCCCTTTTTGCAACTAAATAGCTAAATAAGCCTTGACTGAAATGACGAAGAGCATTACGAACAAAACGGGCACGTTTTAGCGGCACGTTGAAATGTTTCAGATGTCGACCGTCACCAAGTGAAGTATCAGTGCGGAAGAAAACACAAACATTCACGGGGCACACATACAATCATTAACATGTTGACGCCAGCGTGGCAACTATGCATACCGCCATTTGAGGCCGTGGCAAGTATGCATGCCACAACGTTTCTTTCTTTTTTTGCACAACTTCCCAACCTTATTGTATTCGTTCTATAAGCCATACGTAGTCAGATCAAAACCACGTAGCTCGCAGAATAGCCAAATCTTCTTATGTGGATGTGGGTTCACTAGGACAGAAAACGACTTCGCGTTTTGCAGCCGGAACTTCAGGTTCACCACTGATCATGAGTGGATTTGGAGCTTTCACAGCGAAAAACAATTTGCGCTGAGAAGTGCGATAAAGTCAAGTCGCTTTCTGTCCCTGTGAACCACAACCACACCACACCACAAGCAGAATTTGCCTTCATAGTCATAACACGTCATTTTGGTCAAACTTCCATTACTGTATTTCCTGATAAGTTTGAAACATTAAGCGTTAGTGGAAACATTTTGAGCATCCAAGTATTGCTTATTTACAGCTCAAAATTCCACGGATTTGATGTGAGGCGGCGGCGCTTGCAAAATCGCTCCGGTCCCACGCGGCCAAAAAGCCAAAACGCGCGATGTCGTCAACGTGTTTAAAAAAAGGATAAAATGTATTGCTATGAAAAATGAGTACTCACGGAATCGACAATAGATACTATGACTTCACGGACTCGCCGAAGCTTTGGATCATTGCTAAAGTCGAAAGCTAGGCCATTACTAGCGTTTAATGATCCTGCAGTAACTGATGAAGCACGGGTTACCAATGGGAATTTGGGAGCACCTTCATCACGACTGCTCTGAAAACTTACAACCTTAAAAAGCGCATTGCACACGAAACCTTGTGAAGAATGAGGAAGATTTGTTTAAAAACTGAACTTACTGTTCCGCCTGTGTTCCTGCCTTGAACCCATCACCGCCAAAACCGTAGGACGACAAGAGATTCTCGCGCTTTTCGATGCGCTTACGAGACATTTTGTGTTTTCCAATGAAATAAGGGCTACTGGCGTTTACAGCAAACTTAGCAGGAGGATAAGATGCGTCAAACCTGCCCTTTTTCTCTGGTCTTAACGGAGGGACCATCACAAGCTGAAATTTTACGTAAATGTGGGGCTGGCTGGATGATCAAATGAGGATCGATCTGGACACAACATTGCAGCGGATGATCACTTCCACAGTCCTAAATTCAATTTTCGAACGTGCGTTCTCTTGAAATATTGTAAGTGATGCTTGTAAACAATCGCTAAGATAAGGCTGCGTTCGTATTCGCGACTTAGGGGATTCAAATAGTGGGGCTTGAATATTAGGTTAGCAGTAGATATTCACTGAAACAGGAATCACTGGAGAGCGTAGGTCAGACGTCTTTAGGCGAATCGATCAATACGTATCCAACCATTTTGCCCACTGTCTTAAACTCCTACTCTACTGCTATCCTTCTATTCTAATATCGTAATCCACTACTCTCCAGGATTTCAGATCGTACTAATCTGATCCTTGTCACCGAACTATATTACTAGCCTACAATCCTGATCTACTACTATCCTAAATTCCCTTTCTTGGGAGTTGGGAGTTTGCGACTCCCAAGTTAGTGAAAAGACATATCTTTTCACTAACTTGGGAGTCGCAAACTATGAATTCGGCCTTCGAGCTATATG